TAAAACACGTGAGCTCACAGAGCTTCCCTCTGCCTGAATGCTCTTTCTGTCTGGCTCTAACATTAAACTTCTTAAAAGCTAAACCCTCACACTCTCTACATAGGAAATTATTAGTGTATTCCCTGGAAGTTTAGTGGAAGAGCTGGAACATCAGATATTTAATAGAGGCATTTAGCATTAAGAGTGCCAGTTGATTTGTTAGATGCCTTAGCATTCCTTCTGGGGATTATGAAGTGAAATTCATTATTATACATTGAGTTGTTCTTGCAAATAATGAACACTCTAGCGTGGGCCTGATCAGCAATTCAAACCCTGCATGCTCAGACTGAGAGATTGATGCTTTACTGACTGGGTTATTTCAGGCTCCTGAAGGATCCTCCCCTGGGTACCAGGACCTCACTTACTGTGCTGATTGCAGAATAGTGATGCTATCAGCAGCTTTTTTTGTTATGAATGCATCTTATCCACGTATTCTACTTCACCCTGATGGAGCACTGGATCTACAGGAGATGAAATTCCTACTTTAACCTAATTTTCCAGTTAAGATGAGCAGACATGATGATTTTTCTTTCCTGTAAGGGAAGAAGCAATGCTATACACCTCAGGGCTGGCATTTAAGGAGCCTTCATAAAAAATTCAATACAATGAGAAAAGATGTAGAAAAGAAAGTATTGCTTAGCTAGACAGTATAGAGTAGAGGATGAAGGGCAGGGAACACATCCCTCTACTTTCATCATAGAGGGAAGCATAATGAACTCCACACATGCTACATTACAAAGTGTCATTGTTTATCATCATTAAAACACATCCTTTTGCCTTTCCACAGGCAGGTAAAACCAGCTGCCAACAGAATAACCCCACTTTCACAGCACACCTCAGTCTTCCTACTGTGGCAATCCTACAAGGTTTGCTTGTATTTTCTTCCTCCTCAAAGAGAACAAACAGCTGTAAAGCCATTCTGTAAGTTATTCCATGGTTTTCATCTGGAAAACACTCCACAGAGGTGAATCCCTATGCCTGCTGTTGACTTACATGGGACCCTGAAGAAGCAGAAGGCAGCAGGCAGAGAGGACAAGCTGGAGGATCCCATCCTGCCGTACAAATGGAGCTACAAAGCTGAGTTTTGAACTCAAGAGATTCAAGAGAGGCTCAGTTCAAAGCACAGCTGCTGCAGAGCCAAGCAACTGTTCAAAACATATGGGACACTTCAACCCGGTTACCACACACAACTGCTCAGCACCCTGGAAGCATCAGGAAACCACAGGCCTAGAACAATGTGAAGTCTTTTCATGCACGTCAAATGGCATCACACACAGCTCAGTGCTCCAAAGCACCTCTGCTGCTCTGAAGATGAAAAAGCACAGCTCTTGGCTGGAGTTAATGGAATGGATTTAATAACTACAGGAAGAGCACAAACAAATAAGGACACTCAAGCACATGAACTCTTTGTTGGTTGCAAATCCTGAAAGTAGGAAAAAGCTGCAGTACAAACAGGAAAATGTAACCAATGGTGCCATGTTCTAAGCATTCATTTTAAAGCTGTTCCAAACATTGCCAAATATTGGAAGGACACTGGATTAGTTCACACTCTCAAACTCAGTTTAGACTCATCTAAGTTCTTGCACCAGAGGCTCCCGCATAGAGACAGCAAAGTCTCAGAAGGAAGTTACTGAAGGGAAGCTATGTTCCACATGAAGCAACTCCCTATTTCTAATACTCATAAAATCTCAGTGTGAACCCCTAGATCATAAAAGTTAATAAGCTTGATCAGGAGTCCTGCCCTGGCTCTGGAGATTGATGCGTTTGCATGACACAACACAATGGTGTGTACAGATCCTTATTACCATCTGAGTGCAGCCACACAAACACAGCATCCCAAGCGAGCTAAATTTCCCTTTGCAGGACATCCCTACATGAAGCTGCACCATGTCTATCGAGGCATAACTTAAAAGTCCTCTATTTTTATGTAGAACACTTAAGATGTGGGCAGGGAGCTCCTCTGCAATGCCTTATAAATATGCTTCAACACTTACATGAAAGGATTCACTCCAGGAAGGAGAGTTTTGTACTCTGGAATATCAAATCCCTGGACACATAAAGTTGCTTCATACCTGACCTAAGCACCAGAGCCATTCAGGCCTCAGCTGCTCTGATAGACCTTGGAACACAACGAGGCAATGTTCAGATGCATCATTAGATATGAAACAAAGGTGCTTCTTTTCTGTATAGAGAATCCACTGTTGGAAGGCAGAGAAGCACAGACCATTAACTGACTGGTAATGAATGCTCATATTTTCCCAGGTTTACTTCTGAAATGAGACAAAAAACATCCCAAAAAAGGGCTTCCCCCAGGTCAGGCCTGATACATGAATTGGGAATCCCTAGTCCAAGCATGTCAAGTTTAACAGCCCAATTTTGTTTGTATCCCCAGGAGGAGAATGCTGACCCATGACAATATAAGGGAAAAAGAACTGAAGACAGACACAATACTTTATCCACCTGCATCTATCAGAGAGGCACTGCCTAAGCCTGACATGAGTGAGACACAGACAGCTTCCTTCTGGATGCAGTAAAGACAGTGCTAAAGTCAAAGGATCCAGCTGTGTTTGTACAACTGCCATTATTTCCTAACCTCCTCTATTTCAGTTCAGTGCAGCAGAAGAGGCTGCTGGCAGGGAGAGAACAGCAAGAATCACCTTCTTTCATCCCAGCTGCCTGAGATGAGGCAGGAAACGTGAAGCTGCTAGATCATCACTGGCTCAAGTGCAGATCTTGCTGCAGCATTAGGACACGAGGATGATGTTACTTCATGGGTCTATGACTCCACCTGATGACAGACAGGGCAGCGAAGAAGGTACAGAGGAAAAATCATTGTCAGGAGGAAATTTTCCACCTTCTGTGCCTGGGAAGTTGGAATTCCAGAGCAATTCCAGAGCAATTCCAGCCGCTCCCTTTAGGAAGGGCACAGCAGGTGCTCACCCTCAAGGTTAGCAGTGGACACAGCCCAGCTTTGTGATGGTTACAAGAATAAAGCCCTCAGGAGGCCTGGTAGAAGCTGCACAGCCTCTGCACCAGGCTGCACGACTCCAGTAATTCACATACACTAAATGCTTTGTGCTCCTCTATGATGGGAGGAGCAACAGAATCACACCAGCACAAATCACTGTGGCAGTGACCTGGCATAAAAGCATCCTCTGAAATGAGAGTGCAACACTCAAGCCTCGAGAAACGTGTACACCTCTGCAGGCAGGCTCACTGCACTACTTACAGTGAGTAAGGCTTTTGTAACGCTAGCCATCAGCATGTGTTCTCCTGTGCAGAACATCCTACTGCTCGGCCAAGGAGGGAGAAGTTCTCTCTTAACATCCACAATTGCAAAACAAGCCCACAAAACAAACAGGCAGGAAGTTTTCCAGGCGACACAACCTAAAATAGCATTCCTACTAGGGATATTTTCACACACAAACTGAACTCGGTGAGTCAGTGCTCCTCAGAGGAAGATTAAAAGGATGGGATGTGGGTGTTTCTTCATGTGTCTCACTGGCTACAAAAAGAGATATTGACAAACAGTGGGAGTTCAGAGGAGGAGCAAAAATGGTGAGGGGCCAGAAGGCATTGATCTAAAATGAGAAGTAAGGGCTGAAAACATCATTTTGCCAGTAACTCCTATAACAGATGAGGATACTGGATATGTGCTGGAGTTTTATATAAAAATACCAAGAAAGAACAAGAATTAACCTTGTTTATGGGAAGAGAACTCCGAAAGGGTAAGAGGCTTTATACTCTATGATATTTAATGACCATCTGCTGTTTGCCTACTCCCCAGCTACTTCAGAACTCCACTCACTGCTGCAACCAAACAGCTATTACAGTAAGAAGACATTCCATACAATGAGCTGGCGATGCCCAGGACAGCCTCCCAGGGGCAGCAGCAGCAGCAGCCCCTGTGCATGGAATATAGAGAAAACCACCACTGTTATGACTGATTCATTCAAAAATCACCTCCCGATCTGCCTGCACTGTGCTGGGATCCTGCAGCACCAGGCTCTGTACAGCCAACAGCCTCACAGCCCCCCGGCTCCCAGACACTCAATGAGGAGATACTCAGCAAGGGCTGGGGATGAACAGATTATGTTTTGGGGTTTAACCTGTGCCTGATGTGATGAAATATACCTTATATTGACAAAGGGGTTCTAAATATGCCAATGTATATGGAACAGACACCCAGAACTCCTACCCTGAAACTGCAGCTAGGCACCAAGCAAAACCCATCTGCTTGACAATCATGGTTGTGTAACACAGGAATACAATTCACTAGGTAAATCCCCACCGCTCTCAGCCTCACGACAGCACTAACGCTGTGTGCTTCCCCAACCAAAACCCAGGAAAGGGGAGCACACACATATGAACCCTCACGGTCAAAATACCCCCCAGCAGAGCGAGGTGAGCCCCAAACGTGCCCATTGCTCGCACCTCCCAGGCAGCACATCGATGAACGGACCCAAACCACAGCTACACCCCCACAACCACCACAGCCCCGCGCCTCTGTGGCACCGAGGGCGCAGGACACCACAGAGGGCGATCCGTGGCCGCGACCCCGGCAGGAGGCGAGGCCTCAGCCGCTTCCCCCCGCGCTGGCGGAGGTCTGTGCTCCGGGGGACCGGCCCCTGCGTGCTCTGACCACCCTCGGCCTCCCCTGCACGGCCACGGCCTGCGAGGGGCCTCCCGGCTCGCTGAGGCGATGGGAAAGGGCCCGGGGCTGAGGTGGGCGCGGGGCTGAGGGGGGAGCGGTGGGGCGGCGATGGGAAGGGCCCGGGTAGAGAAGCCGGAGCTGAGGGAGAGCCGGAGCTGAGGGGAGCGGGGACCCCGGTGCTGAGGGAGCGGCGCTAAGGCGGGGGCTCCGCGGGTACTCACTGAGCCACGACTCCAGGCTCTCCCCTTCCGCCTCCGCCATGTTGCCGGCCCGCGCGCACGCCCCGCCCCGGCCGCGCGAGACCAGCTGGCGGAGAGGGGGCGTGCCCAGCCTAAGGACCGCCCCTCACGCCGCACGTGGCCCCGCCCCTTAGGAAAGATGGCGGCGCCCATGGCGACGGGTTTGGGCGGGCGGCTGCGGGCATGGCTGCCGCGGTAAGCGGGGTCGGGGCGCGCTGCACCGCACACACCCGGGGCTGTGCGATGGGGTGGCCCCGGGCCCGGCCGCACACGGGTTGCCGTGCTTTGGGCTGCCTGAGGGGCTCGGGGCAGCCGCTGTGTTGGGGGAGGTGCGGGGTTCTCGGTGCCGCGGTTGCTCCGCTCCGACCCGTATCCAAATGCGCTCCCCGCGGCGGATAATGAATGGAATCACGGTGTAAGGTGCTCGCCCCACTGCCAGGGGCACAGAGCGGTGTTTGTTCGAGACACACACAGGCTGGGCCCTCAGGGAGTGTAAGGGTAGGGCAGGGGCCCAGTGCTGTGCCTGGGACTTGGGATCCTGCCCGTCCCTTTGGCGTGGCCAGCAGTAAAACTACTTATTTATGGAATCCTAGAATGGTTTGGCTTGGAAGAGACCTCAAGATCATCCAGTTCCAACCCCTGCCATGGGCAGGGAAATCTTCCCTAGACCAGGTTGTCCAGAACCACATCCAGCATGGCCTGGACTGCGCCTTGCAGTAGAAATGCAGCGATGGAGAGGAAGGTGGAGATGTCTCCCAAGTGCAATGTGGCCATCTGAGGCATGCTCACCCCTGTCGTGACATACCATGTGTGCCAGTTTACAGCCCTCCTTCTCTTGCTCCTTGCAGGCTGACGCAGGTGAGATGGAGCCGCTACAACCCCAGTTACATAGAGCCAGAGGTGAACAAGGAATTGTACCAGAAACCTCCAGAGGAGCTCACTGAGGAGGAGAAGAAGAAACTGGAGCTTAAGGCTGTTCAGCCCGTCAAAGCTGCACCCCCTACTCTCTCCAGCTCCGTGTTCAGCGACCCCATGATCAGGTCAGAGAAGGCACCGTCTCCTGTGGAGCCACAGTACCTGGGAGCTGTGCCTTTATTTGCTGTGCTGCCCTTGCCTTCTCTCACTGCACAATCCCTTTATTCCAGGTTAATCTTTTCCCCACAAAGCCAGTGACTGGCAGTGATTAGAGATAATCACAGCAGATCCAGCAGCACCCAGTCTTAATGACAGGAATGGCACAAAGGGGGGTGCTTGTTTCTATGGGTGATGGAAATCGGTTCACCTTTGGCTTTGTGTTTGCAGTAAATTCACCAATATGATGATGAAGGATGGAAATAAAGTGCTGGCCAGAAGCCTCATGGCTCAGGTGAGAACTCACATTTCTTCTATTAGGTTAAACCAATACAAAATGGAAGGCTGGGTTGTCAAGCTCACTGGAATAAGGAATTATCAGAACTCAGGTTATCCCTGTGGTCACTTTGCTCTCACTGCTATTTACCTGATAAGGCCTTTTGTATAAGCCTCAGCCTCACTCAGCTCACAGCCCAGGTGGTGGGAGCCTAATGGAGAACGTTCTCTTTCCACTCTTCAGTAGCCCCTGGCCCTTATGTACTGCGTAAACCCAGAGAATACCTTTAAAAGCATTATTTTCTCAAATAATCTTCCTTCCAGCTCTTTTGTGCCTTATTTTCTGTATAATTTGCCAATGAAAGCTCGCAGATGTGTCATAGCTTTGAGCCCTGCTCTGACCTACAGTAAATGGTATCAGCTGATGGTCCCATCAGGTCTGTTCCATCCTTGAAAGCCCTTGAAACAAGGACACGCTGTGCCCAAATGTTCCCCAGTTGCTCAAGTGAAAACGGGGTGCTTGTAAAAGTGATGAACATTCATGGAGTGGGATAATCCATCTGCTCTGTCTCTTGTCTTTATCCCAAGACTCTAGAAGCCATTAAGAGAAAGCAGCTGGAGAAGTACCACAAAGCTCCAGAAGATGAGAAGGAGACAATTGAATGCAACCCTTATGTCATTTTCCACCAGGCTCTGAAAAACTGCCAGCCCATCATTGGGCTCAGCAGCATCACGAAAGGAGGCAAAACCTACCAGGTGAGAGGGGGGCCTGGGAGCACATCTGGATGGGAGGGAGTTAGGGAAGCAGATGAACTGGTTTCCACCCCTTCAGCTCAAGCTTTCCTCCCCTTGGAAAGAGAGATGCTTTGCAGCCTGGATTAAAACAGCACCTAGAGCTTTGTCCAAGATCAGGCCCCCAGGCTGTGAGCATGGCAGTTCCCTGTCAGCAATGGTTTCTGCTTCTCTGATGAGATAAGGAGGATGCAGCAGATGTTATCCAAGAAAACAGAGATCAATGACAGGCAGCAAAGGAATTGGCAGTTCATGACTATCCGTCTCATCCTCTGTGCAGCATCACATTGCTTGGCTAGAGGTCCCAAAGCCCTGGGGCAGGTCAGTGTAGCAGAAAACATCAGTTAGATACAGTGGAGGGTTGAAACTGAACAGAACCTGTCTTAAGTACAAGCTCTGCAACATGGAGACCTGATGGGGAAATAAGATGTGGAGGCATTTCTCTGTCATTCAGTGCAGGGGAGTAGGGACCATCTCCCATCTCTGCAGCCTGGGTCCAGCTCCCAAACAGCCCAGAAGTCCTCACAAAGCCCATTCCAAGGCAGTACCAAGGCTGATCAGAACATCCATTTGGTAGCAATGACCAGTTCCTGTGGGACAGGAGGTGAACTGGGACAGATGAGGTGCTGGGCACTGGTTTTACTGCAGAGAGCAGCATGGGCTGGACCTGTGCGACTGCTGGAGCAGAGCAGGTTCCTGCCCCGTCACAGTGTGATAACTGTTCGGGTTCAACCTTCCCCAGGTGCCAGTCCCTCTGAAGGACAATCGGAAGCGCTTCCTGGCCATGAAGTGGTTGATCACTGAGTGCAGGGAGAACAAGCACCGCCGGACGCTGATGCCTGAGAAGCTCTCCCAGGAGCTGCTCCAGGCCTACAACAACGAGGGCCCCATCATCAAGAAGAAGCACATGCTGCACAAGATGGCAGAGGCCAACCGGGCCTATGCCCACTACCGCTGGTGGTAGGGACTCTGCAATGGGACACGGTGCCAGCAGCCCCAGCACTGCCTGCCTGGGGGCAGCTGGGGAGGAAGAAGAGGGAAAGGGGGAAGATCCCTTCCATGCAGCTTCTGAAGTAAGCCAGGGAAAACTCATCTGATCCCACAAGGTTCCTCTGTGCTTGTCTGGATGGGGAAAGGAGGAATGTGGAGTTACCAACCCCTGCTCTGGTTATTTCATCGTCACTTCCCTGTAAAGACAAGCCTTAAGATGTTTTCTTAAAGCAATGCTGCACAAAGTAATCTTCCAGTTACCTTTACTGTAAGACCTGTGAGTCTCTGCTCCTGCAATCAGCAATGGTTTCGGCTGCACAGCTAAGAACAGAGCTGGATTTTTGTCACACCACAACACTTTGAATGGTACAAAAGGCCCTTTTTGAGTTGGTTCTGGTCATCAGCAGCATTGTCTGCACAGGTTTGATGGGAATAACAGCAAAATAAAACCAGTTGTATGGGAAAGGTTTCTCGAGTCCTTGCTTGACTCTCAGACTGCTCTTTCCAGTAACCCTGGTTGTACAAAGCCTTGGTGACACCCTACACCCGAGGACAAAATGAGTATTGAAGCCTTAAGTCAGGAGTAACCTTTAAGTAAAGCCCAGCAGCTGTGCAGACAGAAAGCAGGGCATGTTAGTGGAAAACTTTTATTAGAAAAAGATCCTTCAATAGCCTATTTTGTTTCTTTTCTTCTATTGTAAGAAACATTCCAGGGTTGAAATTTCCTAAAGTCGGATAAAACAGGACAGTTGTATAAAAGTTACAAAACCTGTGCCTGGCCACATGTGCTCAGGGACCTGCGCATGTAGTAAAGAACTACATGTGAGTAGTTGGGTTCTCTAGAACCAGTTACTAGAGCCCTATGGCAGGTACCTGTGGCTGTGTGCATGCAGGGGCTGGAAGGAGCCTGGGAAAAATAGCACTTGGTTATATGAGCTGTTTGTGAGGCCACAGTGTTTTGTGTGACTTGTCCCAGAGAACCGGGTACAACCTGAGCTGGGATGGATTTACCCCTCTGCCTCCCACAGCCCTTGGATGAACCAAAGTGTTCTCAGCCTAAATTGTGCTTTTAACACTCACAAAATGCTGGTTTGAGCTAGAAACTCAAAGCTTGCCCTTTGCTGGCAGCAGCCCAACGTTAGCCAAAATCAATGGGAGAGCTCCTCGGTTAAATGTGTCCTTCCCACCTCTCCCAACCTCCAAAGTCAGCTTAGTGCCCGTTGCAGCCTGACAGAGTGCCCAGAGGCTCTACCCAATACAAGCCCTATTTATAGGAAGTGCTAGAAGAACATTAATGTGAAAGGAAACTCAAACTTGGTATGAAGCTTGCTGGTGAAGGTGCTGGGGGCATCCCCCTCTGCTGCAGAGCTTAATCCGTCACTTCGCTGTAATAATACTTCTGGGCAGCATCCGTCATCTTCCAGTCAGCAGCTCGGAACTCGATGATCTCCAGCAGCAGGAGCTGGGACAGGGAGCTGAGCCCCTCCTGCAGGAGGAAGCCATCCCGGAGGAGGGAGAAGAGCTCATCCATCCGCTGGGAGTTCATCTTCTCCAGCTGCTCGCCAATGCGGTGGAGCTGTAGGACCAGGCAGTCCACCTTCAGGAGGAAGAGATGAAGGGGATGGAGAGCTTTGGCACATGTATAGAGGTTCGCATCCGTCACTTATGGACCAACTCATCCCGTTCCCTCTGTTCTGGAGTTCCAAGAGGTGATGGTTCTGCTTCCCCAAAGTTGCTGTGAGCAACTGCAGCTACCTGCCATCACCTCCCAGTGCTGCAATGCCTCAGCACATCAGTGTGGCAGCTGCTTTTCCAGATGTCCAGCAATCGGGAATGCTGGAAAAGCAGCTGGTTCTGTGAGAACGGGGGAGTCATCTGTGTTTTGCTCACATGATGGGACTGAACCTGTGTAGCACCAGACAATCCCTGCTTCCAGCTCTGCTGCTGCATCTACAGTGATGACATTTTGGCAATGGGGAGGAAAGCTGCTCCAAGGGAGGACGTGCAGCCTGGGCAAGGGAGTCAGAACCAGCACCTCCATCCTGCTTCCTCCCAGGCTGCAAACCCTTCTTCCAGCACATCCCAGGAGGCAGCTCCATCCTGCATCCCCCCCCGGGCTGTGCCTTTTGCTGGTTCTCAGCAGGACCCAGGCACATCAGCATCCCTCTTCCCTGCACTCACCTCTTCCTCCTTGCGCAGGCTGTCGGGCTGGGCCAGCCGGAACAGACAGTCATAAACAGGGTTCACCAGAGCCATCATGGGCATGTTGTTCACCTGCAAGGAGGCAGGAGCCATCATCAGCTTGGGGGCAGAAAGGGAGGAGTCTGCAGCTATTCTATACAGCTGTCCCCTTGCTGCTCTTCAAAGGAGAAGGGAGCAGCATTTAGTTGTGCTGCTGAACTCTACTGGTGGGATTCCTGTAGGAGAGCAGACACTTGAGTCTCCAGGAGGAAGAGAAGCTGAACAAATGATGTGAAAAACATCTATTTTTAAATGGAATCAGGTAATCATCGGAAATGCACTTGATGCAACAGCGTTTTCCTGCCTGCAGCTCTGCTTGCATCATATTTACATCTGCTCCAAGCACACACACTTGCAGACAAGCTCTGTCAGTACATGGGCTAGTAATTATATCAGCACCCACAGGTTGACCCAGGACTAAACCAGTTCAATCTGGGACATGTGAGAGCAGGCAAAACAGGGGCTTTCAAACACCAGGTACAAAATGGGGAAGCTCAGACTTTGTGATTGTTCCCAGAGAGGGCCCTGCCTCTCCACGCCTGTTTGCTTGCCTGTAGGTATCACAAGCTCCAGCAGCATCCTTGTGCTGAGAACCGGCTCTGGCTCCCACTGCTGAGCCATGGCCCTAGGGCTCCATTCAACACCCATCCACCACCCCAGCCCTGGCACCTCTGGACACCCAGACCCCCCTGGCACCTCCAGGCAGCAGCCTCAGCTCCTGCTCCTCACCCTCAGGTAGTCGAAGATGTTGCAGATGAAGGTGACGTAGCAGATCCAGGCCTGGAGCGAGCGGGTGCGCAGCTCCTCCCGGTCCTTGTACTCCTGCTGCAGCCGGTTCAGCAGGCTCCTCCGGAAGATGCTCTGCCCAACTTGTTTGCTCTCTGCCTATGAGCCCACAAAGCAGGATGGAGGCATGAACTGGGGGTGTGAGAGGGGCAGGGGGATGCAGGACCACACAGATACCCTCCTGTGACTGCCCCCAGAGGCAGGAAAGCTGCAGCCTGTGCTCACTGCTGCTCATCTGGATGCTGCCACAGCAAGGGGCAAGCAGCAGAAGAGCTGGGTGATCATGGCACAGGGCTGGGGCAAAGCCTCTCCTGGCCCAGCCCAAGGAGCAGACACGAGGAGCTCTGACCTGGATGATGGTGTAGCAGATGCGCCCTGCCTCCTTGCTGAACACACAGTCTTTGAGGGACTGGTCCACTATGATATTGGCCACTTTCTCCAGGTCCACGTTGCTGGGGTCTGCAAAGAGGAGAAGCACTGTCAGGAGCCAGCACCCTTTGTGTCCTGCTTGCTTTGGAGTACCTAGAAAGCAATCAAGGTCAGTGTGGGGCCTGGTACAAGCAAGTTATATGGTGCAAAACCTCACGCTTGCTCCCACATCAAGAGTCCCAGCCCCTCCTCACACCCCGGCTGCTTTGGAGACACCAGCTCCAGTGGTGCATGGTCCCCCCAGGCTGAAGACACAGCCATCATGATGGGAAAACGATGGAGAAAGCAGATAATACTGGAAGCAAGCTGATCTGAATGTGAAATCCCACAACTGCTTCAAAGCTGGGTTAGTGAGAGCCAGATGGGCAAACTCCTGCAGGGCTCTGAACAGAGACGTGACCAGTGAGCAGGAGACCCCATGGGCTAGGAGAAGGAGATGACCCCACAGGATGGAGACAGTGAGCAGGAACAGGGTGCTGGAGAGGGATGAGAGGCCAGGCCTGGGCAGCAATGCTGGGTTAGGAGGTACCCTGAAATCAGAGAGAACCCCAGTGATGAGAATCAGGAGCTGTTTGAACAGCAGCACCATTAAACACTGGGAGAAGGTGACAGGGGGTAAAAAGAGGGGGGATCAAAGACCTTCCTGGAGAAGATTCACCAACAGGACCCAGCCAGGGATGATCAGTGTCTGTGGAACAGCTCTTCTACACTGAACACTGGGTGTTCCTTACAGGGGTCCAGCCTCACGTGCGTGCCAAGCTGCAGCAGAGGAGCGAGTACAAAGCCTGCTGACCTTTGAGGGCTGTTTTCAGCAGCTTCTGCGTCTCGGCATCAAATGACTGTATTTTATATTCTTCTTTGCCTGTTTCCCCCATGACTGGCTTCCTCCAAGGGCAAGAGTCAGGGCAGTGGATGGGCTAGTTAGTGTCAGTCCCTGGGGAAAGAACACACACAGCACAGTTGGACAGAGGCAGACCTTCACCCAGCCACTGGCAAATCCCATCTAGTGCTGGTGCACAGGCTGTTATGACAGCTCCCACCAGCCCTACATCTGAGCAAAGCCTTGCTCCACATCCTTGTTTCCTATGATAGGACTTAATCTTCAGAGCCTTTATGTTCTTCTGGTATGAAATGTGTTGCAGCCTGTTGGTCTGCAGGTTCACAAGGCACAGCACACCAAAATACACCTATCTCCCATCGGAAGGCTTTATCACAGGGACACACACACAGGAGCACCCAGTGCAGCCGCTCCCTGTGCCGTTAACACACCAGCTCAGCTGGTGTCACACGACAGCCTGGGAGGAATCAAACCCAGCACCTAAGCATCCAGAGCAGCCCCTGCACAGCAACCAGGCTCCCTCATCGAGACACAGGATGCTCTGCAACCAAATCCCCACCAGCTCCTATGCCATCCCATCCCACTGCAGCCAAGCACAGCTCTCTGCAGGCTCCTAAAGAGCCTCCAGATTAATTTGCTGCTGCTTTGTGATACACTAAAGGCAGCACAGTCATGGCACAGAGAGGAAGGGCTTCCCTAACACACACATATATAACATGATCTGCTTAACACAAACTGCTGGGCTGGCCAGACCCACAGCACACACATGGGGAGGGCACTCGGCCAAACGGGTCTTGCCAGCTTGAAATTCCTCTGCTGTTACTCACCCCTCACTGCAAATAGGTCCTGACAGGGATTAAAGCCAAAGAGCCCATCAACCTTTGGAAGCATGGGACACACAGACACCGTACCTCGGAGCAGAGAGCAGTGGGTAAAGGCTCTGCCCTCCTCTCCTGCCCCATGGGGCGACAAGTGCCAACGCTGCTCCCACAGCCAAAGCTGCCACCTGCACAGGGTTACCTGCGGGACCAGCACTGAGGTCTCTTTCCCAGATGGATTCACAAGCAGCTCTGTGCCCTCCGTGCCATGCCTGGGTGACAAACACCTTCCACCTGGCCTCTGCAGCCCCGTGTCCCAGCACCAGCACCAGCAGCGCTGTGCTGAAGGAACCTGGCGGCAGCTCAGCGCCGCACACAGCGAAGCCGAAGCGCCCGAGCCCGTCCTGCAGCCTCTGTCACCACCGCCCCCAGAGCATCCCCGCAGCTCCCCGGGGGTGGGCACGGCTGCTTGGAGCTGCTGAGCCAAACAACCCTGCCCTGAGTGCAAACCAGCCAGGACCACCGTGTGTGAAGGGCTGGTGGCGGTGGGTGACTCCAGGCACAGCATCACCGCGGGTACCAACTCCAGTGGTCCCCACTAGACGAGTTATCCTGGGGACTTAGTTGGGGTTGGTGTCCTCGACTGGCTGCATCGCAGCGCGTCAGTCCCGGTGGGAAGGGCAGGACGTGCCGCGGCCACCGCAAGCAGAGGGTGAGGAGCAGCGAAGTCTCCTCCGAGGGGCACAACCACCCCGGGGACCCCGTCCCATCCCCACCGATGGAACCCGCAGCACCGGGACCCCTCTGTGCCCGGGTACCCCCCTCCCTGCCGCCGGAGGAGCCGTGCCCAGCGCCACCGACCTGCCGGGCCGCCCCGCTGGCTCCTCCGGCCGCGGGCGCATCGCGGAGCGCCCCGGGCCCCGCCGCGGCCCCGGTTTCCTCTTAGGTCATTTCCTCGCCCGAGCCGGGGGAGGGCAGGGCCGGGCCGGGCCGGGCCGGGAGAGCCGCGGCCGCAGCGCCACCGCCTGCGAGCTCCGGGGCACCGCGGCTCCTTTCCCCCCCCACGGCCGCTCTTACCGGTGTGTCCCGGTCCCACGTCGGGAGCACCGCCCGGGCCCCGCTGCGAGCCGCGGTCAGTCCGGTCCCCCCCGGCCGTGGAACAACACATGGGGAAAATACGAGGGGAGAGGCGTTAAAGCAACTCACTGCAACGGGAGCATCCTCACCGCTTCACTCCCAACCGTGTCACCGCCCCAAGGGGAAGGCTCGGCGGCACTGAGACAGGAGCAGAGCAGCCAGAGCAGCTCAGGAAACCAGAATGAGTGGTTTGGGAACTTTCCAGCTTGCTACAGACCAAGCCAGGCCTCATTCACCATGCTGCGGGGCTCCCACCCATGAGCTCCCACTTGACCCTCTGGGGCACAGCAGTGGGAAAGGGCTGGAGACCCCGCTCCACTGATCCCCCTGGGTGCAGCTATACCCAAAGCATCACCCCATTATCACAGAGGGGATGGCACGGCTCCCAGGAGCCAGTGATGGGAAAGGAAAACCAGACCCTCCTGCCCTGCACCCTGGCCTGGCTGTCCTCCCCCAGGGCAGGAGATGGGGCACAGCAATCCCATGGGATCCAGCTGAATATTCATACTAGGAGGGAAGGAATAAAGGAACTGCAGCCAGACAGGAGCATAACAAAGTATTTAATGTACCTTGTCTCAAAGGTAGCACACGTTCTGCTCGGACACCTTCCAACAGCAGCTGCAATAGATCCACTCAGGAAACACAACGAAACACCTCAGACAATCAAACTGCATCACATGAGAAACCTAAACCCAAACTAAGAACAATCTGTTCCAAGCCTGACTGTCAAACATCCATTTCTTTTCACAAACCACCCTCTGGAGGAGCATTCCAAGAACAGTGTCCCAGGACTCAGTGTTGGAGGGCACGGTGTCCATCACAGAACTTGTGTGTCCATGTCCTCCTGCCTGAGGCCAGCAAAGAGCAACAACCAGAGCACAGCTGGGCTTTCCCTGCTGAAGTGCTTTGGATGTCCTGATGGTACAAGGCACTATTAGAAAGCTAACACAACCGCAGGCAACACAGATCCCCCTGACAGAATGACATCAGAGGGAAATCCCAGCCATCCCAATGGGAAAAACCCAGCACAGATTGACAGCGAGTCACTCACCGTGTGGAGTCAGTGTGAACTGGTGTGTGGAGTATCTGGGAGCACATTTGTCCCCCACAGCAGAGAATAAGGTGACTATGGATCTCTCCTATCTCCTGCTCAAATCTAATGAAACTTGGCTTCAATCAGCATCACAAGTAAGACCTGTCCTCCTAGTGCTAAACCAGTCATTCCCAAAGAGAAAACAACCAACCAGGCTGTGTACTGAAGCTCCTGACCAGGAGTGTCTTCCACAGACTGGCACAGCTTCAACTCCACCTTTGCCATCTGTTGGATGCAGGCAAGTGGATTTAATGCAGTGGAGGAAAAAACTATCCCAGAAGGAGAAGCTGCTCTGTACCCTCCATTGCTCCTCTCCCTGTAGAGCAACCAAGTTACCTGCCCCTAGAGCTGCATCAGCTTAAGCTCCACAGCACACTCAAGGAGCACTGTCTCAGCAGTCTTCTGTTCTTTATCCTTTACCGCTGTGACAACCAAAGCAACTCCCCCCTCTTCCAGAGGCTGCAGTTCCCACTGCTGAGTCCTCACCAGTTTCCCCCTATTTTGTGCAGCTTAACAGCAGCTCTTTGATATAAAGTGAACCAAAGAGTCTGGTGAGGTTTAGACAGGATGGACGAAGCCCGATTTCCTATGGGAGCCTAAGAGAGCACAGAAACCCGCTGTGGCCAGTGCTGCCCCTGCTACCCATGACAGCATTCCTCTGTACCAGCAGCCAAAAGCCTAACAATCCCAACCTGTTTGACTCTGCTTTCTCTCATTGGAAGGATGGCATGAGGGTAAGCCCATCACTGGCTGTGATGTCTTTCCAAGAACAAGAGATGAACAAGAAACAAAGGCAAAATATAGTTAAGAAGAGCTGGGGGGGAATCTCAGCTTAAATAACACAGGAAAATGCCACTCAGATTGAGGCACTTTGAGACACATTACTCCACATTCTTTGTATTTATTCCTCTAAGCAAAACTGTGCGTTTTTGGAGTACATGCAGCTACTACTCCCTCTTTAAGGCTCCTGTATGAGCTTCCTGCCAGCCACCACCACTGCTCAGTAGATTTAACTTCAAATAGCTCTCAAAGTCACCTGCAAACAGCCACTTCACACTCCAAGATCTCAAACCACAGCAGATACCAAGTTATTTGGCCTGGCCTTGCAAGGAATCTCTCTGGCTACCTCAGATCCCAGTGAAACAGCTGCTCTTGGGAACCAGCCTCTCACAACAGCACAGGATAAGGGAGCAATGCTGATATGCTCAAAATTGCCAGAAGTTGCATCAGCAGAATGGAATTGGTCACGCTGGAATGTGGCCAACATCTAGGATTAACACCCTGGATACTGCAAAAGAGCCATGGGAAGCTCTGCATGAAGAGATATCAAACCATCCTCTAAATAACAGCAGTGTTCTGCCCCATCCACCACTCACCAGATGATGGACAGGCTTTTGTATCACAGCAGCTCTTCCTCAGAGCCTGCCTTCCATAACTGGTCCAACCACACCCTGCTCAGCCTGGAAAAGCAGTAAAAGAGGAGGAAGAAAGCAATTTCCCTCTTTTCCCCGTTACGTAAATCAGAGCTGCTGGGTCGTTGTTTTGTTGGGTTTTCAAAGCATCCCTAAAACCTTTGAAACTGCAGAACATCACTTCTCCAGCTCTAATTCCATCACCCTTTCCTTGTCAAACACCAAGCAGTTTCCATCTGATGCTCAGTCCTTTCACTTCAGGTTAGCTTGGCAAAACACTTTCATCTATTAGCACCACAGCAGGAGTGAGATTCAGAAAGGTTTTGAGCAGAAATACTTGCTGGAAACATTCAAAGGTGGTATTAAATAATAATAATAAAAGATAGTTACTAGTTTCCACAGGACTTCTCCTTCATTATTCCCATTTAAATATTTCTAGAACTCTATACAGCATTTGGTTACTCACTGCATTGAAGCAAAGAACCCTAAAGAATAGGGCTTGTGCGTTGAATTCCCTTAGAGAGGGGTTCTTAATCTTTAGACTGAGATGCAAAAGTGTGACTGAGGCAATGCAGAACCCCAAGAGATGTGTGGCAAGACGTGCAAGAAGAGAAATGGGCACTTTGGATACAATCAAGCTCATCAGAGTTAAAGGAAGAGCAAGTTTGTGTGTGATCCACCAGAAGATGCTGTGTTTCAGGTGGCTGATTCAAGTGGTAAGCAAGCAGCAGCAGCTGGCAGCAAAGAAAAGGAAAACTGAGGTTCTGTGACACTAAAAAGGTTTGAGTTGACTTCACAACAGCAGCAGAGAGCTGCCTGTGCTACACCAAGGAAAGAACACGGTGCAAACAGCAGGCCAGAGAGCAAGGAAACACAGCTGTGCGGATGTAGCCATAGGAAGTGGTGTTAGGTTGGATAAGCAGCACCAGCTACACCTGGATCCCAATCGGTGATCCAAGGCAAGCACAGGAATACACCCGCTTCAGCAGGTGCCTCTTCAGAGCAGGTAGTTTTCTGCTTGGTTCCCCCCTCTCCCCACTAAATGCGTGCTGATATTAGAGGAGACAGAGGAAAACAGTGCTCAGTTAACAGCTTCCAGCAAAGCAGTTCAGTGTCTTCAGCAGAACTGCAGCTGCCTTCTCCTTCTGCTTGGTCCCAGGAGGTGATTTCCTACAGGCTGATGGAGCTCTGGGAACTGTGACATTCCCGACATGCTCATGACAGAGCAAAGCCCATCAGTTTCCCCTCCTCTAGGAGGGCACCAGGTAGCCACAGACATGCCCCTTTCAGCGTTCCTTCCTTGCAATGCTATCAGCAGTCTTCAGGGAGCACAGGAGGCTGCAAAACAGCTCATACCAGAAGAAGGTAAGGCCAGTGGAGACAGCAGCCTTCAGCAAGCTGGGGGAGAGGCCCTTAAAGAATCCACCCGGGCCCTCCTCTCGCATGATCTGCCTTATGCAGTCCAGGAGCCCGCTGTACACCCGCACCTGGGAGAGAGATGGCAAAAGGGTTAAATAAGGAAACTCCAGGACAACTTTACCTGGAAAAGAACACCGAGATCCCCAAATATCCCACAAAAATGGGATGGGTTTCTGCTATTATAATCAAACACCTTTCTGGCTATTATAATGAAATGAATTGAGAGCCAGTTTGTAGCAAGTGGGGTGGAGGAAAGCCATGTGTTTTGCATCAGCAATGGCTTATGCAGATCATTCTAACTGAGTGGCCCTAAAATCTTCATGCTGTAACCACACGTATTATTCATGGTACAAGTTTATGCAGTGGTTATTTCAGATTGGGCTGCTGTTTTCCATCCCCTTCACTCTCTAAACTGGGATTTTTCTAGTTTCCTAACAGAAAGAAAACACAAGCCTCAAAAACAGCCATCCACATGTCATCGTGTCCCAGGGAACTTTTAACATCTTGTGACACATCAGTGCTAAGAACAACTTCTGAACCTCACTGGAAAAGCATCCAATGCTATGGGTTAAGACTTCAAGTTCCTATCTCTGAGTTTCTTGAGGTGCAGACTGATTTGCTCCTCAGATCCAAGGAATCTGAAGGAAAAAAAGGCATTTTCCACATGGCATGTAAAGGAAGAGTTACTTGAAGGATCTGTATTTGTCTTACAGCGTTATTTCGAGGTGAAATACACTGTAAGACAAATGGAGCACAGAGGAAGGTGCTAACGAACACCAGAGGTATTGAATTTGCTTTGAATTTCAGGATGTTCTGGTATGTAAGACATATGCTGAACACTTGGTGCCTATTCCTTGCGTCAAAATATTAACTGCAGAAGAGGATCCTGACAGCCAGGCGATCCCAGCATAAAGCCAGTGTCATCCTCTGCTAGGAACGTAGTCCTCAATCAGAAATACCAAGCTGCAACTAGAAGCTAAGTATATGAAACCCCTGTTTCCTGCTTCAGTCATCCCCAGCTTCAAGACAACCAACAGATGCAGATGGGCAAGAGCAAGTTCATCAGGAGCTCCTAACCCAAATACGAACACAAGAGGTACCACTGGTGAATCATCAGTGGTGGACTGGCCCCCGACTGTCTCACAAATCCATACTCCTAAAAATCAGGGAATTCCAACATTTTTCACCTGCCCAAAGGCTGCCCGGGCCTGCTCAAAGCCACGCACTTGCAGTCGCTTCTTGAACAAGTCGAAGGGGTAAGTGAGGGTTTTGCTGATGATCCCAGCACAGCTGCCACAAACAAGGTTTTTAACGTTGCCTGAGAAGCAGAAAGGGGAGACAGGAGGGGGAAAGAGGATTAGCAGGGAGTTTGCATTACAGATCATGAGACTTCAGTTGAAGATCACTTTGCACAAGGTTAAAAAGGACCTTTTTGTGGGCCACAGAACCTCAAGCTGCATCTCTACATCTGGCCTGCAATGTCCTCTGGGGCCAGAGTTGTAACAGCTCATCTTGGTTCACCGCACTTATCTTGCTTTGCTCTGCCAAGTGGCTTAGCACAAAAAACCCCAGTGACCAGAGGACCTGCCACAGGTGGATGGAGCTTTCCTGCCCCCAGTAAAAGCCCAGTCACTGGAAATCTTGCAGTCCTGATTGCTCTGACTTACTCTGGACTGGAGGAAGTCACAAGCTGGCATTGCCTGATGAGTGCAGAGGCTTGGGAGAAATGACTTTTGGGGCATTAGACTTCCTGACAAACCTGAGTTCCCAGCACACAACCACCATCAGCCTCTGCCATCTAAACTAAACATGCAGGCATGATGTTGGAAAGTCTAGATCCTCTACTGAAGAAACTCCATCCAGGAATAAGAACACGCTAATCCTGCATACACTCTTTCCCAAGGAGGCACCAGTATCTAAAACTGTCAAGGTGAAAAGCTGCATCAGGCTGAGGTTCTCTTATCATGGAGCTAGGAAGCATCATAAAACTATCAGCTCAAGAGCTTGGCAGTTTTAAATGAGGCTGAACAAATCCTCTTCTGGAACAGCTGGGCTGGAAACTCAGGCAGATTTCCTGAGGAAGTCCAAGAGTCCCACCCCCACAGCACTAAAGGAACAGAGGAATTAAATGGAAACTAATGGAACAGACATGTTACTGTCTTCCCATAGGATCAGTAACGTGACACAGCTCGAGAAGGAGTATGAGTCTGTGACACTTCACTTTCCCATCCATCCACACTTCCATCATGGTTATTCCATAACAGGAGCTGTCTGTAAACTTCACTGTACTTACTTTTGCACTATCTGTGCAGGGCTAAGAATGAGAGATGGGAAATACAGACACTTTTGCATTGAAAAGATTGATAGGACAGAAAACCAAGCTTATGTCAGTCTCCCAAAGTAGCACTCATCCTTTCTCTACCCCCACATCAGACATCACTGTCCCAGGTGCCTACCTCCTTTCTTTCCTTCAGCTGGAATCACCCATTCAGAAAACTGTTGCAGGATGTTGTAGAAGGAGAACTGGAGACCAGCATTTGGGAAGACAGCAATGATTGTGGGGGTCAAACCTCTATAGAACGTCCGAGGTCCTTCTGTCTGGTACATTGTGACCACTGCGTGGCGAAGGTTTTGGTAGATCTAGGCAAGAAAGAAGAGGTTGATTCTCTGATGGAAGAGGCTTAAAACAACAAACTAAGGGGCAGGTGATTTCCCAGTGCCCAAAATACAACTGACTTTCAGCACAAAGCAATGAACAAAGTGATTTTGCACATCACACAGTATTTGCAGCTCAGCCCTTGTGACTCTTATAAGCTGACAACCTAAAGCTGCCTCTGGGCTATGAGAGACTAACTTAACGATCCCTAGCATTGCACTGGGCTGACATTGTATCCCACATACAAGTTGTGCTGAGGGGAAGAAACAAGGCACGGAGCTGAGGCCAGAGACCAGTTGCCTCGAAGACAAGATTATTTTTCTCTTAACAGCTTTGCTTACTCCTGCAGCAGAATTCATGTAATATGTATTGTGAGTCTACTGCAGGCTAATGGCTCTGATACAAATAAATCTAGTTGTTACAGATCTTATTAGCATGGAGACCAATTCTTGCATAAACAAGAACATGAAATACAAGTGAAAGGTGACTGGTTTCAGATCTCATCCCCATCATTATCTAAACATGACTCTGTGCAGGTAGAAAGCTTCAAATCCACAATGTTCAACAGACTGAGGAGTGTATTTATAAATGGCCAACAGGGCAGATGAAAATGGACTTATCCTGGCAAGGACAGTTTCTCCTTTCTGGATCATCTGTGAGGAGTCAAACACAAATCAAGAGCAGCAAAACATAATTAAGAAACCTGTGTCAACAGCACAGAGGATGACTTGGCAACAGTACAGACACTGCTCAGTAACAGCACCAGCTCCCTTCTCTAATCCCTGGGGCCGTTATGTACCTTTCAAACCTCCTATTTTCCCACACATGGAATATTGCTACTGCTATGGAAGATAATCCCAAACACACACAGATCCCTAAGCCATACCTTAGGCTCACCCTGAGCAGCTAAGCGGGTGCGTAGCGTGTCAAGAGGCTGCACTGCAACAGTGGCTGTGCAGGCAGACAGCCCACCGCAGGTGAAGTGCACCAAGGAGTCACGGGCGCTGTAGGAGGTGAGGTTGTGCACCAGCTGGGTCATGTTCTCAAACACCATGAACTGGCAGGAACAAGCACACACAGGTCAAGGAGTCAATGCTGATCCGTGATATGGATCTCCCATTCCTCTCTCATTTCACCCAGAGAGCTCCACCCACCGCCTGTAACCACCTTCTCCCTGTGTCCTTCAAAAGTCCTTCCCAACTTGCACGCTGAGCATGTGTGTGCTCAAAGAGTAGGGTGTAAAAACCACTCAGCAGCGCAGGGAATGCTCAGCACAGTCTGTGCTCTGACACTTGTGCTAATTCTTGCAGTTAGAACTGTGAAAAGCTCATCTCAGTGCTCCGTGTATCCTAAAGTGTTTGTTGTATTACAGATACACTGTGCATTTCTCTTTCAACCGCTGCTCACAAAACATGTTGGTAGTAGTTACAAAGTAAGCATAACAATGCGGTGTAGAACACCATCATCAGCTTAATTTCTTCCTTACAAGCTGTTAGGGAGACATGAACAAAAGCAAAACCACCACACAGGTCTGGAACATGAATGGGTAAGCCAAGTGCCAGGAACAACGGGGTTATCTGTGACAGCAGATACAAACAGAACTCTGTCTGCTGTATCGGTGCTCCAGCTTCAGCAAGCTCAGGAATCACCCATCAGCAAGATACAGCTGCATATCTTTACATCAGTACAGTGCGACCCTGGAGCCAGGCTGAAGAGGAGCAAAGTCAAGTCCTATGTATGTGCACTGGGCCCAGGGGATGGATGACGGGTCAGCTCACCTGAACAGCTCCATAGCCAACTGAAAGCAGCTGAGCAGGAACATGGCCCTTCCAGAAGGCAACCAAGCCCTCCTCCCGGAAGATGCGGCGTGCAGCCTGCAGGATGCTGTGGTACTTCGCGCCTGGGTTTTTGGAGGAGAGCTGCTCGATCTGGAGCTGGAGGAGAACACAGAGAAGGGTTGCTCTAATTCCACACCGCGTCTCAACAAGTTCAAGTGTTGCCTTTGGGAATTCACAGCCCCCAGAGCCAAGCAATGCCCTCCCATGGACTCACACCTAGAAGTGACTGGGATGTGGTTTATGTAGGGCTCTGAAAGAATAAAGCCACATGTGCAACACAATCAGTAGGGAGGATGGTGAAATCCAGTTAGATAATGAAGATGATTCATTCGTAAAGACAGAGAAAGAAAACAAACTATAAAAGCCACAAGGTCCCATTCAAACACTCCAGTTATATAAATAGAAGCAGTGGACACAGGATAGCCCTGCTACCTTGCATAACCTGTACACCACGAGGTGAGGGCTGAGGAGCAGCGTTACCAACTCTCTGGGTGCACAAGTGCCCTGTTCGCCCAGGCCATGCCCTGTAACGGGCTCATTCACCCCGAGCACGCCGTGAGGACCCTACCTGGAAGCGGATCTTGATGACATCCAAGGGACTGATGAGGAGCCGGGTGACGAAGCCAGATGCTGACCCTGCTGCAGCCGCTTCCGCCGTGGACACGCACCTGGAGCCGGGGTCATAGCCGACCATGCCTGCCCGGAGCCCCCGCAGCCTGGCCGGGAGACAGGGGCTTTGCTGAGCCCGCCCCGGACAGGCTCGGTCCCACAGCTCCCGTTCCAAGCCCCCCGCTCCCTCCCAGCCCCACACCGCTCCCCCTCGGCACACGCTGAGCCCCACGGCACGCACCGGAGGGGAGCGGGGACCCGCACCCCCGGGTAGGGCCCCCGACCGCAGCCCGCCCTCAGCCAGGGGCCCGTCGGGGCGCCTCAGCCGCCCGGCGCCGCACTGCGCCTGCGCGCCGCGGGGGATGCTGGGACGTGTAGTCCAGCGGCGGCAAAATGGCGGGCGGGGGCTTGGCGCTCCCAAGGACGGGCGGATGGGGTTGGGATGAACCGGGATTTAGGCACTCCCTGCAGCACAGCGCCTGGTGGGAAGGGAGCACATCATGCAGACAAGACAGGCCTTGCTCCTGATGGTTCTTCCTCCGTGGTTATTGCCTTGTTACACAGTCACATACAGGAACAAGTGTTGCCCTTCCCTCGTTAGAAGTGGAAGAAAGGGTTTCCACGCTTTTCAGTGGGTACCAAGCTATAAACAGCACGGTTCTGATCCACCCTGTCCTGCTCCAGCCTTAGAAGAAAACCCAGAGCACCAAACCACATCAATTCTGTATTGGCTGAAAAATAAACTTGTGATAACAAAATCCAGGCATTTCCACCATAAACTCCTTGACTATATTTGTATTTGAGCATAATAACTAAAAGCAACTGGGCAAACCCAAGGCAAACCTCCAAATGGGCCTTTTCCTAGTGTGTATTAGCCTGCAAAATGGACCAGCCCTCAGCCCATGAGCAGAGGCTGACCCTGCAGCGCTGCCGCACACCGTGGTAGCTCTCCTTCAGCAGCAAAGGGAAAAGGACCTGCAAGGCACTGATGGAGCAGGGCAAAAGCTCACGAGTGGCCTGAGCCATGGCAATGTTGTGTGCCCACCATCCCCTCAGCAAGGTGCTCCAGAGACAGCTGGTGTGTCTCCTCACAACACGCAGTCTGTACTGCAAAGCACTCGAGCTGTTGGGTAAAAAGGGTAGAGAAAAGCAATGGGGGAAATACTGCAGTGCTGCCTCCCCGCTCAGCTGAAGCATGGTCTTTGGTCCTTGCACCAACATCATCATTCAAATCATCACAGACTGGTTTGGGTTGAAGGGACCTCAAAGCTCATCCAGCTCCAACCCCTTGCCATGGGCAGGGACCCCTTCCACTGGAGCAGCTTGCTCCAAGCCCCTGTGTCCAACCTGGCCTTGAACACTGCCAGGGATGGGGCAGCCACAGCTTCTCCGGGCACCCTGTGCCTCACCTTTCCCCCCTTCTCACTGTTCATAATGCCACATGCCAAGTGACATAGCTCTGTGCTGACACAGCTTGAAAGAGGAATGAATTCAGCCACGGATGCTGAGACCAAACTACAATGCTCCAGAGGCTGCGTACTTCAGGCCAGAACACACCTTACAGCTTCTTCCTACAGCAATCCAGTATCCTATAGGATGTAACATACACGTTAGCTCCATCCGTGGCATTTTGGTCAGTGAACTGAAATAACAGACAGATGCTCAAGTGAAGAATTCAATGTATATTTATTATTCACAGTTAATTACTATCTACCAAATGCTGCTGCAGAGTTAAAGGATTAAGTACATAGGCCTTTTTTTTATTTAAACACTGATTTTTTTTTTCCTTTTAATATATATACACACACAAGACATATGTCTGCAAGGCTGCATGATATACACCAATTCCAAAATAAGGAAACAATCAAATGGTCCAGGTGTAGAATGCCATAGATTCCTTTTCCAATCACTTTACAAAGAAGGAGGAAAGTGAGTGACAGCTAGCAAGGAGAGGGGGAGAAAGTAATAACTCTACAGGATAGCTCTCTCTTTCATCTGCTGGAAAATCAAGTGTAAGGCAGAGTCCATGTCAGGAAGAAAACGTCTGTAACACTTAGTACAAAAAAAGGCACCCTCCAACTCAAGATTGCCCATGCTCAAGCAGGGCAGGAGGAGATCTCTGCTGCAGGGTTTGGATTCGTTGGTGGGGTGAAGGAAGCCAAAAAGGCCATCCAAAGGAAAAGTAATGCAACTGAAGATTGGCACAGAGAGCAGTGGGGCTCTGTTGCTTTCCTTTCTGTCCAATTTAATGTCACACTGCTCTGGTGGAGGAGCAAATGGCCACAGAAAACACCATTCTGGTGCAGGGTGGGGGTTACAGTCATCACACAGCCTGCTGTGAATGGGGAGAGGGGTAGGGGGGGGAGCTACTTCAACAGTAACACTGACCTGAGGAGGGAGGAGAAACTGGAGAACAGTGATGCCAACCCCACGTTTCAAGAGCAACACGAATGCAAATATTCCCTATCCAGGCCAAAGAGACAGGCTGATTACATGCATCACGTAGAGACATTCACTAAGAGCATAAAGTTTTCTTTTCAAGCACTATTTCTTGAGGTTTCTCTGCATTATAGTTTTCCATCAAAGGAATGTACATTTTGTAGGACATTTCAGGGCTATTATTCCTCAAATCCCCCCCCCCCTGCCCCCTTTAACCCTCCCCTCCCCAAAATATTCTTCCTCATCTTCCCTGGTCATAACTTCCCCCCTTTCTCTTACTTCTTTTGAGGCTCCTGGTTGCAGCTCCCCACCTCTGAGCAGCACAAGTTGCCACTTGAATGCCTTGATTTACTTTCCTTGGAAGAAGGGAAGTTCAACAGTTAAGACAAATCTTAAGATTAAAGCTCCATCTCTTGCTTGTAGATTCCTCTCAAGTGTGCATTGATAAAACCACCCTCCTTCACACCCTTCCCCCAGAAGTATTTATTTACACATAGCAGGGAAAAAAAAAAAGTTCTGGACTGTCCTTTTAACTTAAAAAGAATAAAAAAGAAACTAAAAGAAGGGAAAGGCACTATGGAAAAAAGTACAGAATGTGCTCAACCGTACACCTTTAAGGAAAGAACACAACAAAAGCGCTGTCAGCACAGCATGAACAGACCCTCAGTTGTACATTGGAGTTTCTCAAAGCAGCTCTGTGACTCCAAAGAAAAGAACAAAAAGCCACACAACTCTTCTCCCTTCCCCTGCTTGGAAGCTGCTGAGCTTCAGAAGAAAGTGCCAAAGGAGAAGAGACAATAAAACTTAAGATTAACACCTCATCTTTCCCAGGCAAGAAGAGCTGAATGTTGAAGGCAAAAGCAGAGACTGATGATTTTTGTTTTGTTTTAAAGGCAGGACTGTGGATTTGGTTCTTCTCTCATGTCCCTTCATGTCAAATGAAGACCGTTTGCAGAGAGAGAAAATACCAGCAGAGTTTCTCCCTTTTCCTTTAACTGCATGGCTAGGACTTTATATGGCATTAAAACTTCATGCACTGATGGACAGAGGGAGGGGGGGAAACAAGAAGAGTGGATGGAAGGGGGTAACCCAGGAGCAGCTGAGGAAATTTGTTATTTTCATTGTTTTCTCTCTCTTTCTCTCTCTTTTTTTTTTCTCTTTTTTAAGGATAACTTTTGGTGTGTAAGTTGAACTCTTCCCCCCCCAGCCCCTGAAGTTCCGTACTGAGTGAAGGAGGGTCACCTCCCGCTGAAAGGTGACTCGGGTTTTATCGCCGCGTGATTTTAGGTCACTGGCTGCAGTTAGGCTCTGTATGTGTATTTACTGCTTCTCTCCTTTCTTTAAATAATCTCTAATATTTATCTCTAGATGTTTCGGTTCACTGGGTTCACGTAGTTGCGTGGAAACATGCCCGTCTGTCCGTGGCAGGCTCCCTTCCACCAGTTGGGGTCAGAATTGTCAAGGACTTGGATAAAGTCTCCACGGCGGAAGCCCAGCTCTCCTTCCTCTTGGGGATCGAAATCAAACAGGGCCTGAACGTATGTCGGTTGCTGGAAGGGGAAAGGAAGAGAGACACAAAGTGAGAGTCATCCACAGTGCTTGAGAAACTTGCTCCTTCAGGCCGGAGCTTAACCTACACCAGGGTTAACAGTGAACAGTTTGGGCTGTTCCGTTTCCCTGCAAGCCAGCTTACAACATCTATATCAAGAGGCTAAAAGAGGAAGGCATAGTCTATAGAAGACCTTTGAAAAAGTCAGGTTTCTGTGAAAGAGCAGAAATAAAGATAGCTGATGACTCAGATGTTTTCCTAGTCTTTTCCAGTCTTCGTGACCTACTGTAAATCTGTATGTACTGCAATACAATAGTATTCTATTCATCCTGTGCTGACCAACTGACAGGGTGAATATTACTGATCTACCTACCACAGTGATACACAAAGCTTATCCTAAAAACTGGATGTTAGCTTTTAGATTTTCCTTAAAACTCTCCACTATCAATAAATCCTGTCACAAAGTGTTCTCCCTGGTCAGTAAATACTTCAGTTCCTATGCAAAAGCTAATGGTTCATTTCAAATAAATCTGCATCCTTAAAATCATGAGGTTAGAAATGTATCTTCATGGCTGTTGTTTTCAGCCAGCTGTTTGCTCATCATCTGTTTATCACTGACCCAACTGTGCAGAGCCAGATGTTAATTCAGACCAACTGTGGCAAAGGGTGTGCGTGGCACTCGGTGGGCAGAATGAATTCCACCCCCTTGTTTCTCAAGCTAGAACTAGGATGCTGCACTTGAAAGCAAAAGGATATATTCAGAATTGACAAAAGGTCCCGTTACATGCAATGTGATGTTCTGACTGCCCTGGGAAATGGAACAAAACAAAGGGCTAGATATCCACAAGCTGCTCTGCTGGCACTTAGCAGTAGTTTTTGGTTCATCTTAACACTGGCTAGATCCAAACCAGAAGGCTGGAGATGTTCTATATGCTGTAGCCACCTCTTTAGGAAAGACCAGGACCTTCACTGGCTATGGAGGGGTACAGTTCTATAGTACAGAACTATCCTTTCTTCCTATGTCCTGAACCAGGAGTAAACCCACTTTTAATTCACAGGAATAAGATGATCTGTAAGCCAACTGTTCAAGCAGCAACAATAACGCTTTGCCTGAACGGGAGACTAGGAAGTTCCAGGTAGGCTTTGCACAAACA